CTCCAAGCAGCCTCCCAGGTTTTCCTGATCAGGCTTTCTGGTCAGGATGTGCTGTGAACTACAGCCAGCAGTGGGCCATGCTATGACTCAGCTCTCCTGCCTGGGTGGGGTAAGATCAGGCTCTAGGGCTGGTGAGGCTCTTCGTTTGAGGACCCAAATCAGGTAGACTTGCACCCTGCTGAGTCCCCTGGTCTGACTGCTTCAATGATTTGGTTCTGCAGATGAGCAAAGCCGCTGGTTGGGACTGTTACTTGGACACTGCAGGTAGGAACTCAATCTGCTAAGATCTGAGTGCTGGTTGTTGGAAGCCCCTCCCCTCTTGATCACAATCAGATTCTCCCTTAATCGCCCTGGGGCTAGACCAGAGTAGGGGCTCCCAAGAAGTGACACACAACCCTAGGGGAGCTGGATGTCCATCCTGGGCTCTCTTTTCTTACTGGAGGAAATGCAGGCTCGGGGCAGACTGACATGGTGCTGCACCAGCCTAGGGTAGGGGCAATGAGGTCAGTGTGCAGCCTCTCCTCTTACCCTTCTGAAGTGGTCTGTCACGGTCTCTCTGGTGCAGGGGGGGGTGCTTCCGCCTCACCCCATGTTCTAGGATTCTCTCAGTGGTGTCTCATCCATGAGTAGTTAGCCGTTGTTCTTGTGAGGAGGAGTGAAGTCAGGAATGATCTATGTTGCTATCTGGTTATATCACTATGAAATATCTTAGAATATGCAGAGTGAGTCAGGATTCACATTACAGCAGTGGTTCTCAAAGCGTGGTCCCTGGAGCAGCCATAAATTATTTTAAAAACATTTTAAGGGGCCGGCCCGGTGGTGCAAGCAGTTAAGTGCCTGCGCTCCACTTCGACGGCCCAGGGTTCGCAGGTTCAGATCCTGGGCGTGGACCAATGCACCTCCTGTCAAAGCCATGCTGTGGCGGTGTCCCATATAAAGTGGAGGAAGATGGGCACAGATGTTAGCTCAGGGCCAACCTTCCTTGTCAAAAAAAAGAAGAGGATTGGCATTGGATGATAGCTCGGGGCTGATCTTCCTCACCAAAAAAAAAAAAAAAAAAAAAAAACTTAAAAGGTATGTGGTCAGCACCTTCCTTGAAAACTAGTTGAACAAAAACATTTCTGGCTTTTATCCTAAAAATGATAGTCAAAAGATAAATCTAGTTTATGTTTTCTCAAATTTTGGAGCAGAATATTCAAGTATCACAAATACATTTTCATACCAGAAGCAAAGACCAAAACAGCCCTTTCAAACTAAAATGAAAAACATGGAGTAAAAATCGTTTTCCTTAAACATAATATTGGAAAATTATACTAAGGTAAAGTCCTCATGCCATTATTTGAATTCAACAAATATTTACTAGGATTAATTATGTACCCATAACTTCCTGAAGCAAATATTCAGGATGCTGTGGAAGAGAATGGTTTAATAAATCACACACAGTTTGACTTCTATCTCTGTAACTCATTTGTTGTGATGGTACTAAGTAGCTTAAGCTGTTTGTTACTCATCTATAAAAAAAGTTCCCACTCCAGTGCCCAACCAACAATAGGTACGTATCATGTTACTTTCTCTTTTCTTTCTTACTGCTTTAAATTCTTAAAACTAGTTAATTTTAAAGATAATTTCAAAGATTTCCTTCCTCTGTAAATTTTTATATCTCCTTGATACAGGCCTTGCCAAAATTTTTTTTCTCCTCCAGTTAATTCTGCAACACAAGTATAAATTTAACTGGTCTTTTCCTGGACCCCGAACTGGTGTTTTTCTAGTCTATTAAAAACAATACAGACATACCTCGGAGGCATTGTGGGTTCGGTTCCAGATCACCACAATAAAGCAAGTCACACAATTTTTTTGGTTTTCCAGTGCATATACAAGTTATTTTTTCACTATAGTGTAGTCTATTAAGTGTGCAATAGCATTATGTCTAAAAAACCAATGTATATATCTTAATCAAAAAAAATACTTTATTGCTAAAAAATGCTAACGATCACCTAAGCCTTCAGTGAGTTCGAGTCTTTTTGCTGGTGGAGGGTCTTGCAATAAAATGAAGTATGCCTGGGGGCCGGCCCGGTGGCGCAAGCGGTTGGGTGCGCGCGCTCCGCTGCGGCGGCCCGGGGTTCGCTGGTTCGGATCCCAGGCGCGCACCGACGCACTGCTTTGGCAAGCCATGCTGTGGCGGCGTCCCATATAAAGTGGAGGAGGATGGGCACGGATGTTAGCCCAGGGCCGTCTTCCTCGGCAAAAAAAGAGGAGGATTGGCAGATGTTAGCACAGGGCTGATCTCCTCAAAAAAAAAAAAAAAAAAAAAAAACGGAAAATGAAGTATGCCTGTATTCTTGTCTCTTGGCAAACACACACCCTACATCAATACTCTGTCTTTTGGCAAGCATCTCTTCTGCCAAATCCAAACAAAAATCTCATCCTGGGATCACAGGCTCAGAACAGCAAATATGGTAACAAATATTTTATTTTTAAAGAAGATACTTGTGGAGGTCAAGGGTAAATTAAACAACACTCCAGACAGAGGTCTCCTCATGAACATAGGCCTTAACACGTCTTGCCTGTTACATCTACTTCCAGTGCATCCCCTCCTCTAAATATTCTGAGTTCTTTAAGTTATCAACTCTCGCATATTTGAACGTTACAGTTCCACTTGAAAGACGGTATTTGAAGGTGCCGTTCCATAAGACTTCTTGGCAGCCAGCAGCCAGTTTAGGCAAAAAAGGAATCTGGGTCCTTCTAATATATTAATATGAATTAGCATTTAAAAAAATCACTATACATCTTTTGAGAAATAAGTCAAGGTATTATTTATTTATGACATTTACACACTTACAAAATTGGTTTTATTGAATACATCATTCTGCATAGTATTTTAAAAATGAACACCATATTCTGGGAGTAAAAATCCGAGTTTCTTAATAATTTATGCATGACCCAACATCTTTTAGAACATAGAATATTATCAATTTGGCTTCACAGAACAAAGTCCAGTTTAGAATTTTTTCTAGCCGAGAAAGTAAATTCAACAACAAATTAATTTAGTTGACCCTGAGTATATTACTAGTTTGCACAATTTTTAATAGATGTACATATTACTTTCATCTGTACTCTTATCTACTTATACTTACTATCATACTACCATTTTGTCTATATTCATTCATCTCAATTTTCTACCTCATTAATCCTCAAGAGAAAGAGGAACGAAGAATGGGATAAGAGACTCAGAAGAGAAACCCACTAGCGTTGTCTGAAGCTTTCCAACTCGAGAAGTCCATGGCACAGCTCTAGGTCCAGGGTTACCTGACAAATGTAATAAGAGGATCCTGAACTAAATAATCTGAGTGCCTTCTTATCAACTGAGGTCGATGTTAAATTACTCTTCCTGCATTTTTCCTCTTCTTTTTCACACTACTTAATTTTAAAAAGTGTACAAGCTTATAAAATTCAATAAATAGTTCCTGGAGTACTTCAGAGGAAAAAAAATATCACAAACACGACCAAAACAACAGTGGTAAAGAACTGAGTTAAAGACAGATTTTCCTAAGAAGCTTGAGGGAGAAGGAAGCCAACAGCCCCCAGTCCAACTCTTCCTAAAGAACGCTAATGTGGGAGTTATAATGAAATGAATAGGAAGAGAAAAGAACAAGGGGTAGCTTGGGATGACTGGTGAAGGGAACTGCGGCCTTAGACTGATGATCATCAGCACATCTTACGGCAAAATACCAACATTACAAGACTGCCTGGCTAAAGCCGCCACGGCCTGGGAGAGAGAATAAGTTCCCTTTCTTGCCCCTCGAACAACTGGGAAATCGAAGGATGAAAAAATAAACGAGAGGTTGGGAAAGCTGAGCATGTGCAGTCAGTCACGCTCTGACGCCTTTCAAAAATAACTCTGGGCCAAAACAAGAATCAGAGGCCAGACCAGATCACGTTTTTATCTTTCCCATCTGTCCTTTCCTAATCCTCCTCACCCACTCACACTGTTCCATGGAACAGAAGGCTTATCCAATTACCAGGGGCAGGGAAATTATCTCCCTTCAGCCAAGCCATCGAATAACTCTGCCACTGTCATGAGGATCCTAGGAAAATCGTTGTCTAATTTGATGTCAGTTTGTGATTCTATGAAAACGACTCAAAAACATCAAATAAGATATTTGAAACTTGGTAAAATGAAAAGAAAATTAAAACTCAGACATTTTTAGGATCTTTAAAATTTCCCTATAACAGGAGGGAAAGTAGCAGAAATATTTTAGGTAGGGCATACTGCATACTTTCCTTCATCTCTAATTGTGATCTGTCATCAGGCCAAAGCCATGATAAAATATCACTACAAAAGGGTAGCTTTTTTAAAAATAAAGGAGAGAAGCAAATGGTGGAGAAAAGCTTCTCTTTCTTATTCGTGAAAGATGGAGAAAACACAGATGAAGTGTTCCATAAATACCATAAAGAGGGGAAAAGTATACCGTCCCTATTATGCCACTGTGACTGGTGACATCTCTTTTCTCTCTTTCATTCTTTTACTGACACAGAAGTCTGAATTTCACTGAACACTCATTACACAGTGCTTGGAAATTAACATATACCATAGTTGAAAAATGAATACTTATTATTCTCATCCTCAGATAAAAAAATAGCAAAAATCAAATAAGTACTTGAAGTAATATTAACACAAAGCAAACATTACATGTAATGACGACCCGTGCAGGATAAGAGGTTCAACACCCTTTATAAGATTGTACTAATTCTTTCACATCTAGAGAATTGTACAAAAGAGTAAACAAAAATTAAGTTACATTTATATAAGAAACTATTCTCAAAAAGTTATTTGAATGCATATATAGATGTTCAAAAGTATAAGATAAGCTATTTAATTTTGATTTGTATAAATCCAAAAACAGTGAAATATATATTATTTGGGGGAAAAACAAGCTTTCACTAGATACAAACATTATAGACTAAAGAAACCAGATTGAATATAAAAGTTTCTTTGAAAACTTTCATATAAAGTAAAGGCAGAATGGCACAAAGTTAGAAAAGCAGTGTTTAAGGCAAACTAAGTAAGAAGTAACCTTAACTAAAATAAGAGGCAGACAATTCCATAAACAACAAAGTAATTCCCTCTCAAATTTCTCCATTACAGTTGGGAAAATATGTGTAGAAGCACAAACAATGGCTGTTGTCCGAGTTTACTTGGACGTACTGCATAGTATTATATGAAAATAACACAGATGCTTCTGATTTAAAATATACTTGAATCATTTGCCACTCAGTTGTCATAGAGCAATGAAAAAATGTATTACCCCAATGTTCATAGTATAAATCTGTGAACTGCCAAAACTTATTTTAAAAAACAAAAAAAGTAGAATTTTTCCAGACTATGTGTACATGATAACCAAAAAGAAAATGATCAATTCTGTTACTTTGGCCCATGTTAAAAACATGTGTAGACACACATGCCATCTCCCTATGAGTAGGTGTCTTAAGGTAAACTGTTGAGCACACCACTCGGCATCAGGCCTCAGATCACATGCACACACAAAAAGCTTCAAAGACTGACAGGGAAGAGATTAATCATGAATTAAAAGAAACAACGCTTTTAAAGAATATTTAGTAAACATATTCTTTAATTAACTATGTCTTAAAAAAAATCAAGCACATATCATTAAGTTAAATGTCTTAGCACATAAATTTTGCACCTTATAAATCTGATATATCAAACTGTCCTATAAAAATATTTATATAAGTTCTCTTTTGAGAACTATGGTATATGAAATTATATGATCATAAAAAGGATGTGTTTCATCTACTGGAATGACACCATGCCTAAGAAAAAAAAAAAACTGCAGCCTAAAAGAAAATTATCAGAACTGCTGGATTCATTGAAGCTATCCAATTTTAGAAGGTATGATCTCTTCTTTACTACCAAGCTCCAAGTGGGGAAGTCTCAGCACCCCGGGGCAGTCTTTTCTCACACGGTCCTGGGGGGCAGGCGCTGTTTATACATGCCCGCTATTGCTTTGGCTGCACTGTAGATCATCTGTCGACGAGACATGCCAGTGAAAGTCACGTGCCAATCAGTCCGGCTGACATTTAGTAAACTCTTTTCCAGGACTTCGCCCACTGTCACCAAAAGGCCTGACCACCTCAGACTGTAGTCCTGGGGTGTTAGACTTTGAGCCTATGGAAAAATGAAATTGCTACTATTTATAATACATTAAAAAATATTGGAACAAGTTATAAGTGACATTTCAAAGTCTCTCAGGTTACTTTTAATATAGATTATGACAAACCCCGAGAAACACAGTTATGCTGCCAACTGTATGAAGTTACAAGGCTACAAAAGAGTCAAAGCAATACTGCACACATCTACTTTGTTTAAAATGTTCACATTAAGCTCGTTTTGTTGTTCAAATATAATCTAAGTCTTAAGTCCAGTGACTCCATCTAACAGAGTTCAGGGTCAGAGGGCTTAAGTTCTAGTTCTATCTATATTCAGTGTCAATTCAGGTTAATAATAAAATTAGTGCTAAAATAGAAATATTGCTTATATCTTTTTACAATCATAAAATTCCTACCAGAAAGAGGGAAACAGCATATTAAGGCTTCAATCCATTCAAAAAAGAATTGTTCAATTAATTTGTGGAAGAGTATCCCGGAAACTTCATTTCCATCTGAATAAGTTAACACATATCAAAAAATCTCCAGGACGGCATCAATCATTCACACTTGACCCAACCTATATCTGCTCCCAGTCAAATCATTTATTCATCTACACGGAAATGAGAGAAGAATAAACTCATTGCTTGATATCCAAGAACAATGTGGTTTTTCTGTTTTAGAGTGTTAGGTACAGTCCAGAGGAGTATATCCATATGTAGAATGGATCTATACAGTGTTTCCCAAATGTACTATCCATCACCTGAGACGCTTTTTTTTTTTTTTTTTTTGAACACAACCAGTTTATTATGCCCCACCTAAGACCACTGAATTGGAAACTCCACAGTAGGTTCCAAGAGAAAGAGTACATTACTTATAAAGTAGCTTCCAAGTAACTTTGCTGCAAACAGCCCAGCAGTTGGCGACCCTGCTCTAAGTCTTCTCTTCTACAATGTACACTGCACTACACTATGTTTGAAAGAAGAGAAACAGCAGACACTGTGAAATGGGTATGGGGCAAAGAAAGGGTTACTGAGGATCTGACCAACAACTAACACGGTCTGTCAAATGTTTTACGTTTTTAACACGTTCCCAGGTGATGCTTATGATGCTAGGCCTAGGATCATACTTTGAGGAACAAGGTATTCTACATCATCTGCAAAGATCCAGAATAGCTGGGTTTTTAATGGGGGGGAACCTGTGGGGGGGGGGGGTCATTTTTATTTAAATTTAACAAGCATAAATTGTGTGAAATTTTTTCCAGATTTTCACTAATATACATGCTGATTATAATTCCCTAAAGGGCTAATTTCTGCTCTCTTAAATTCCAACAATAAAGAGACAAAGAATTAAACGTCTCAAGGTGGATAAAAAAGAAACAGGGAGGAGAGCTGAAGAGCAGGAATAAGAGGAAGGCATCTTAATACACTCACTTTTGCATCTTCTTAATTTTGAACCTCGTGACAAGAAAACACAACAATCACAACAGAAAAAAAGGCAAAGTAAAAAGCAAATGACATCATTCTTCAGAGTTAACCTCATTAACAATTTGTTGTGTATCTTTCCAGGCCTTTTTCCCCCTATTCATTTATATACATTTTAAAGTATATATGGACCACACTAAACGCAGTTTTTTATTTTTTAGCAATGTCATAGATAAATTTTGCTATTGGTTTATATAGTTTTATTAGCGTATATAGTTTTGATGCTGCGTTCTTTGAGCATCATGCGTATTTCTTTCCAATATATATTCCTAAAAATAAAATAAAAACTGTCGTTTTGCAATGGTCAGACATCTAGCACAAAAAAGTTTGGTCAGCAAACTTTTTCTGAAACGGGCCATGATAATAAATATTGTAGGCTTTGTGGGCCAGATAGTCTCTATTGCAGCTATTCAATTCTGCCGCTGGAATACAGAAGCAGCTGTAAACATGTAACCAATATGTAAGCAGATGGGCAAGGATGTGTTCCAACAACACTTCATTATTAAAACAGGCTGAAGGCAATTTTTTTGCTGACCTCTGATTTTGAGCAATGTTCGAGAGTGGCAATGACAGAAGCATCTTTATAATTACAAAGTTTCTAACGTTTTATCATTAGGGCTGACGTTTGCTTTGATTTTCTAGCATGTGCTGGAAAATCAGACACATACCCTTCTAATTCTAATCAGCTAAGTTATCAAGATGGGTTATCATTTCTAGCAAATACCTTTCAACTCTACTGAGATCCTTTTCTCTTTTAATCTGTTCACGTATTGAACTAGGTAAATTGATTTGCTATTGTTTGAACCATTTGGCCATTCCTGTGACAAATCTTTCCTGGTCGGGATATAATGTTTGTGTTACTATGATTTATAATAAGGAATCCATATTTGATCTTTATCCCCAGTTTCTAGCACAGAGCTGTCAAAACCCTTGGAATTTCCTAAGTGATAAGAGCAATACGAGTGTCTTTTGTTACGTTAATGAGTTGACTTTTGGAAAGCCCTTAGGTAGGTAACCTAAGGATGGGGACTGGTTGCCAGGGGAACCAACCACAAGATTAGAAGGTTGGAACTTTCTGTTCCTCCCTCCCACCCCCTCAACTCCAGGGAGGGGAGAAGGGCTTGGAGGTTAAATCAATCAGCAACAGCACAGGCTGAGCTTATGGCAAAAACTTCGAATGCCTCCCAGTGATGACCACCGGGACCTTGGATTAGAGAATTCCCATTTGAGGGGCTTTTACTACCTAGCAACTAGACACTATTAATTGAAGCTATTCCTACGACTGAAGGACATAAAATGATCTTGAAATGTGAAATACGCACAATGTCTAGGATGATGTTGGAGAAATGCCCTAATGGGGATGGGAGTGCCCAGAAGAGTTCCTTAATAATATGGAAATGATCGACAAAGGACCATGCAGCCTGTGGAAGGAAGAGACACTCATGAGCAGGGAGCCTTTTGTCCTCTAGGACTGACTTGGGAGGCACTTGAGGAGCTGCAGGAACTGACTGCCACATGGACAGTGCCCTATGAGCAGCTCTCAACTGAACAACAAAGAGCTGCTTGGTGCAGAGACAGCAGTTCCAAGGTGAATGGACATCTTATTTGGAAGGCCACCACTCTGACTGAAGAGGGTAAAAACAAATCAGCTCAGTGGGCTGAACCACATGCTCTTTGCCCAGCAGTGATGAAAGAACTGAACAGTGGGAAAATCCCCCATGTTTCGTTTTTTACTGTCTCATGGGCAGTGGGCAATGGCCTGGCTATATGGTAAGGCAGGAGGACTACAGACACCTGGCTTAGTAAAAAAATGCCCACCTGGGGCTCAACACTGTGAAAGTCACTAGGAGAATTTAAGGGGTACATTAAAGTAGGACATGTTGATGACCATCAGAACAACTTGCTTCCAGGTTTGGAAGGTGACTGGAATTGACAAGCAGATATCCCCATGTGCTCCCTTTAGATGGCCACCTGGGTCCATGAAATGAGTGAACACGGAATACTGCAGCAATGCAGAGATGGGCTGAATCGAGACATATTCCTCTTGCACCCTCTGAGGCACAAAATGCCAATAAGAACTGTCTGCCAATAAGCGAGAGAGAGAGACTGCAAACAGCTATGTGGCAGATTCCCTGGTGGGAGGGCCATAAACATAGTTGACGAGTGAGACTGATGCTGGTAGCCCTAGGTGGCTACAAACGGGTCTTGACAGGACTAGACACTGACTCCAGACTGGGCTTTTCTTACCCAGTGGTAGATGCAAATGCTCAGAGAGCTATAAAAGAACCAGAACAGAAGGTAGTGCACCAATTTGGACTGCTGAGCATTATTTCTTCAGAGCAAGGAACACACTTTGCAGCCCAACAACGGTCAGAGAGATATCCTCCTCAGGAGTTTGTGTTCACACTCAACATAAGTGGGACTAAAGGAGTGTCCACACTGGATAGATTCCCGTTTTTTTCTGGTGGATCTGGGGAAGAGGGGTGGGGGAGGATGCTAGTATGACTATGCAATTCTTGCCAAGGGAGGACACTAGGATGCTGTTATGACTTCCCCCCAACACCCCCATCTGACGTAGTGGCCATACGACCAGAGTTGCAAATACAAGTGCCCGAAACAAGGATGATTCCTAAGCAAGAAACTGTAACTATGTTTTTAACTTTTATGTTAAAACTCCCAAGGGCCTATGGGGCATAGGATGTGCCTTCACTCCATCTGGCAAAATTGGGGCTCACAGTGAATGCGGCTATATTGCTGCCGGTAAAAACAGCCCACTAGTTCTGCACCTGTGTAACCTTACCTTATCTGAACAGAAGTGGACTGAGGGGGAGGCACTTGCTGGACTAGCATCAATCTAGACCAGCACAGTGGCCGAACCTAGTGTCCCATCCAAAGGTAGAAAAGTTTGGATACAAATGGAGAAAAGGAAAAACAGTAGCTATGGCTAAAGGAATGAATAAATGGGTTATGTAACGAAGGAAATGGAATATTACACTAACACATTGAAAAGAGGCTCAGCGCAAGAGGTGATATGGTCTCTTAGCTTGATTATAACAGATGCCTGAAAGGGTGAAGCCATATATTGCTGACGGCACTCTGCTTTTGGAACCTGACAAGATCAAATGGAAGCCTGCAAACCTGAGTGGCCTTGCCCTGAGACATTTTCATATGATGTGATGATGGACTGCATAGTTATTAATGACTGAATGCGATTCTAGTAATGTGCCAGTATCTTTTGACCTTTACAATTGTTTTGCTATAAAGGACCCGTATTCGAAGACCAGGGGGTGGACTGTGATATTGTGATTTACATTAAGAAATATGTATTTGGCTTCGACCTCAGTTTCTGGCACACAGCTTCTAAGACCCTTGGAAAAAGGTGTCTTTTGTTATGTTAATGACATAACTTTTGGAAAGCCCTTAGGTAACCTAAGGATGGGGGCCGGTTGCTAAGGAAACCAACCACGAGACTAGATGGTTGGAACTTTCGGTTTCTTCCCCCACCCATCCCCCAACTCCAGAGAGAGGCTGGAAGTTGAAATCAACCGCCAATTGCCGATGATTTAATCAATCATGCCTATGTAATAAGGCCTCCACAAAAGGATGGGGTATGGAGAGCTTCTAGGTGGGTAAACATGTTTAGATTTGGGGAGAGTGGTGAGCTTGGAGAGGGCATGGAAGCCCTGTGCCCTTTCCCCATACCTTGCCCTATGCATCTCTTCCATCTAGCTGTTCCTGAGTTATATGAGGTATATCTTTTTATAATAAACCTGTGATCTAGTAAGTAAGTGGGTTTCCTGAGTTCTGTGAGCTGCTCAAGCAAATTAATTGAACCCAAGGAGAGGGCCTTGGGAATCTCTGATTTATAGCCAGTCGGTCAGAAGCGCACAGGTAACAATTTGGACTTGTGACTAGTGCCTGGGGGGCAGGGGCAGTCTTACAGGACTGAGCCCTTAACACCCTGTGGGATCTGGCACCATGTCTGGGTAGATATTGTCAGCGCTGAGTTGACTTGTACAACTCCAGGAGGTATCAGAGAATTGCTGGGTGGCCGGGGGGCGGGGGGGGGGGAAGACACTCTCCCCCTACACTGGAATTGGTTCCAGAACGCTTTTTAATGTTCTTCTAATACAGTTCAGAAATTTTATTAATTTTACCAATGATTTTGACATTTAGTTCTTAAGTGATACTGTATTATAATTTTTTTTGGTGTTAGGTGACAGGCTAGTCTCACAGAATGAAATGGAAAACTTTCTACCTCTAGTTTTGACATTCTATATAGCATGAGAATCACGTTCTTTGAATATTTTGTAGACCTCACTTATAACACCATTAGAACTCAGTGATATTTTTGGAGCTAAATGAAATTCTTCCACTGTAATGCTTCATTGAGGTAATTAGGTTGAATCATATGAAACTGCCAATATTTGACTGTTTTTGACTTCAAAGACAGCAATTTCATATGGTTCAACCTAATACTTATTTTCGATTCAACTATGGCAATTTATATTTTCTTAATCATTTTATCCATTTTTCTAATTTATTGGCGTAACAGTATCCATAGTATTTGCTTACAATCTTTTAATCACCTTCATATTAGAGTGAGTTTAATGTTACCACCTAAAAAATGTTTTCTTCAACTTCTGAAAATATGATAAAAATTATGTATAAGTAAAAGATTCAATAAAATTTCAAAATTCCAATGATCAATTCCTAGTTCTCTCTAACCTATAAACCCCTAAGAGGGCCACAGGTTGCCTTCAGGGATTCTATGAACATGTATGCCAAATTTATATGTGACTGCATACATGTATTTTCTTAGGAGAGAACCCAGAAGCTTTATCAGATTCTCAAATGCCTGAAGTCCCAAATAACTTAAAGAGACAGTTTTGAAATGGCATTTAACAATGCACGTAAGTACAAATGTGATAAATTTCATGAGACGAAGGACAGAAAAAAGTCAACAAAGTACCATTTATGAGTATAAAGATTACAATGCAAAATATATATTTACATTCCATTTTGCTCAAAAAAGGATTAAATGTAACAAAAATATAGAATGAATCAAAATCATTATACATTTATGCTTACATTCTTCTGGAAACTCTGTGGATAGGTAAACTATTAGTTACATTTTTCAACAAACCTAAAGACACGGACCTCTCATCTAAAGTTTCTAAACTTTTTGCTATATAGGTTTCTACTTGTTACTAAAGATGAACAAACTTAAGAGGATGATTGAGACAAAGAAAAAGGAAATGGATGTAACAGAGCAATAAAATGTGAGATAAACTGGAAAGTAAATGAAAGGTGAACATAAAGCCAGCAGAAGATCTTAGGATAGTCAACACAATCATAACAAAGAAAAAATGAGGAAAATAGTGATTAACTATGTAATGTACTACCTTTTCAAAGACAGCTGGAAAACCAAAGTGAGGAGGTACTAAAACAAGATGGAAGGAATAGCAAATTGAAAAGCCAACAGAAAAGGCTAAAAGGGAAAAGACGGAAACAAAAGCAAGAATAGATCAGATTTCCAAGGAAAAGTCTGACACAAATTTTTATTTTGAAAACAATATTGCAAGTTTCTCTGGAGCACAATAAAAAGAAAAGGAGGAGACGAACCTGCTGTACACATTCCAGAGGCACTGGTGTGGCCTGTGTAAACGTTTCTAGGTGAATGCCATGGATGGGATCTTCAACTATCAAACAACCAATGTCAAACCACCTGTAATGGAATAGGAGTTTCAAGTTGTTTGTTTTTTGTCTATTCACTATAACTTCTATTTAGCACACAAACAACAACAAAAAAACCAGGTACCATCATTCAGATAGAACATGAGCAGATTGCAAAAAGGAAATGTTTTTCTAATCAATTTTCAAAAGGACAATCGATAAAAACAATATCTAAAATTTTCTTGTTGGCTTAATTCCTGTTGGCTTAATTACAAGAGGCGAGAATGGAGAATAACAAAAACAAACCCTGAAAATTACTTACCATGTAAAGTTCCCTTTCTTGCTAAGATGGAGGATAAGAATGGGAATAGGAGTACTCGAATATGCAGCAGATAAATTTGCCCATTTGAACGTGCAAATAGTTTGTCATGAGTAATATTCTTAAAATGTCAGTTGTTAAAATATGGGAAATTTTATATTGCCATCTGTATTATTAACATGTAGCCAACTAACAAAGTTATTAGCAAATTAAAAAATAAGCTCATTCAGAGGAAATAAATCCTCTCCTCATTCCTGATAAATCGTTCTACTCACATTTTCTGAACTATTTACAACGAATCAGTCTTTGAAAATAGCTTCATGAAATCAAGAAAACTTTCTTCCATTTAAAGATACTTATAAATTATAAAAAATGAGACATTATAAAAAGTGATACATTTTAAAATTAACTTAAGTGAAATCATTTGTAACACCATCAGCATTTTAGCTAACCAGAATCATGAATCCAGATGCCCTGAAGCTATGAATTTAAATAACAAGAGGATATGGAGCAAGAAAATGTTCAAAGTCTATTTTTTAAAATATGTAGATCTAATAAAGTATGATGTAATACAAAATGGATTAGGAAACTTTTATTTACCTAGTCAAAGAAACAACAAAGTAAAATATAGAATAACAAACAACTTTGCGGAGTATTAAAATGGCAGTTTGTAATGTTTGTAATAGTCATATAATAAAACGTTTCAAATTAAGAACATGAAATAGTATTCATTTTATTTGGTATACTAGTCAATATTGTATTTCGGTACATCTCATTTGGCATGATTTCTGTATAATGCAGATGGTAGAGCATAATTACAGTGACTAAGCTGTTAGGCACGGATGTCCTAAAAAGCAGAGCCACTGAAGGTAAGAGAAAAGTCTTCTATGATACCAGTGAATGCACATGAGAAGAATTCCAGGGTCCCCTTTGTTCCCTAAAATACTATCATGGTCCTGAACATATCAACCTGGATATCCCATTCTCTCCAACTCAATATCTAAAACTGTGATCCCTGTCATGCCCACCAAAACCTCGTCCATTTCTTTCACCGCTGGCTGAGTAAACTCGCAGTTCTCCCTCTCCTGCCTACTGTCCTTCAACTCCACGTCCACTCCCCACCCCGGCATGGAGGAAGAAGGGTAACCTCCGCTGATCATGTTCAAGGATAGTCAGCTCATGGACTTGACCAATCCTATCTGGAGGCTGCTTTAACTTAAAAAGAGCTGAAGTAGAACTGTGGTTCCAAGATATTTAGATTTTATGTAGCAGAAAAAATTTCAAAGTAGAATCTAGGGAACTGATGTAGGTATGCCAATTTGTATTTTACCAAAGACAGACCATCATCTACTACCACCAGTCAATTTACAGAAGAAAGGAAATTTTAAAGACGTTTTAGCACATTTTACACAGAACACAAGGTTTTTAAACTTGATAGGTTAATATCCGAATAAGGGCAGTCCATGCTTACACAGGCATTTTTCCACGTACAGTATACATCATGCTAATTTTTCTAATGTAGCATGAACTGATACAAAGTTCATCAAGGACAATTAGGTCTATAACGGCTCTACTCGATATTCGAGGCTAAACACATTTGGGATTTCTTCTTTTGGCTGACTTGCTCTCCCGGATTGGTCTTTTCTTGTCTTAGTTATAAGCATGCACTTCCTTGACTTTATCTTCTGTACATTTATTTCCCACAGGAACACCACAGAGAGAATTAGCCAAAGCAGGAACTATCAAGTGTTTTGGATCTTGGATCTGCTGTCTGTTCTTATGTCCTCTGTCTCTCCTCCTTCTGTATCTTACTATCACAACCTTTCCATCTTCTCTCCTCCTTAATCCATGCTAGAAACCACCAACAGACTTCCTAACACTATTTACTACTCCTAATCTTCCTAATATGCTACTCTTCTGCTCAAAAGGTATTTGGTAGGAAAACTACCCTATCTAGGTATGATGGAGCAGTTTATGATGGAGGCCAGTACTCCCAATGAAAAGCCGGATGAGTTACACAAGTCACACATCTAAAGGCATCAAAGAGACACAGAAGCAAGAAGGACAAAAAGGAATAACACGCTGGACAGGGAGACCAGACCAGTCAAAGACGAGCTGAAGACCTGCAGCTGAGCCTGGGTGCAACCCAGCCTCAACTCAGTCTGTGACTAAAGTACACCACACTACCCATTTCCACACACACCCCACAACTCTGTTTAATAGAGGAAAGGGTGAACCTTCTCAAGTTCACCTGAAGACTCAACAGTTCCTTATAAACAATGTCTAGCTTTCGAACATTAATAGGCATTCAGAGAGACAGCACCATATATCATCACACCAAAAGGATGCTAAAGGAGGCTCACAAGTGACCCACAGGCTGGAGTTAGTAGACAAGGATTTTAAAATAACTATGACTCACAGATTCAAGAAAAAAGAGGTGAAGATAGTCAAAATAGACGAAAATATATAGATATTCAATAGATAAACTGAACTATTTAGGGGAAAAAACTCAACGTATAGGCTAACAGCAGACCGTACACAGCAGAAGACAGGATTACTGAACCTGAAGCTGTGAATAGAAAACACTCAAACTGAAGAACAGAGAGAGAAAAACCAGAGTGGGGGAGGGCCAGGGGGGACGACAATGTGAGCAATGTGAAACACTGTCAAAACGTGAACAAGCATGTAATTAAGAGTCCTAGAAAGAGAAAGGAGAGACAATGGGCCAGAAGCAAATTCTGAAGATATAATGGCCATAAATTTTCCAAAACTGATGAAAGACATAAATCCAATGAAAGACAGAATGAAGCTCAGTGAATCCACAAAGATTTAAATACAAAAGCAAGCAAATACACAGACACCCAGGTGTACCATAGTACTGCAAAAATAAAATAACACAGCAAGTCCTAAATGCAGCCACAGAAAACATTATCTTCACAGAAACAATAAGATGGATAGCTGCTGCTTAAGAAAAATGATGGAAGCCAGAAAACAATACAATGACATCTTTAAAGTGCTGAAAGAAAAGAACTGCCAACCTAGACTTCTATATCCAACAAAAATATCTTTCAAAAATAAAGGTGAATTAAAAGCACTTTCAGACAAACAAAAGCTGAGAGAATTCATAGCTCCAGTCCTCCATCATAATGCAGTACCAAAGGAAGTTCTCTAGGCAGAAGGAAAAACAAAAATGCAGGAAGGAATTCAGAGTAAACATAAATGAATATTGACTGCACAGAACAATACTAGTTATATCTTAGGAGTTTTCAATACATGCAAAAGTAAGATACTTGACCACAATGCTGTAAAAGATGAAGGGGCAGGAGGTAAATGGTATTGAGAGGTTTCAGTATAATAAAAATTATGTAATACATCAAAGAAGGCAGAATGTAATCAATCTCTAAGGTAACCATTAAATAGTAAAAGGTTAATAGAGGGGGAAATGAAATAATGATCATTGGATGGTTCCTTGGTGCTTACACAGTAAGTTCAAACTTCTCAAACTAGCATTTAAAGCTCTTCACAATCTGTCCCCAAATCACTTCATTTCCTATTCAACAAAAGTTCAGCCATCCTGATATAATCACAGACCTCAGAATACATCTTAATCATCTTCAAACTTTTCCTCTACTCAGAATGTCCTACCTATTCTTTTCCACTTATCCAAATTTTACCTACTCTTCAAAATCCAGTTCAAGTCCCAATCACTCATGAATCTCATCTGACATGACCTCCACACTGAGTTACCTCCACTGATATTGTATATAACATTTCCAGTCAGCAAAAAATTAAATGCTTTCTTATGTAATTATTTAAAACCGTTCATCTGTGTATATATTTTCTCTCCCAACTGGCCTATAATATACCCCCAAAGTGGGAGAACATTTTTTGTATACTATAGCCACAAAGTACTGGGCACAGTGTTATTCAATACTAAATAAACAAACAAAAAGTTCAAAGAACAACAAAACCACAATGTGATTACAAGAGAAGGTAGATTTCAACCACTGGGAAGTTATTTCAATATAAATCAATCCAGTACATTAAAAACTTTTTTTCCCCATAAAAAAGCCATCTATTAAAACTGGTTAAGTTTGCACGCTCTGCTTCAGCTTGCACGCTCTGCTTCAGCAACCTGGGGTTCGGATCCTGGGCATGTACCTACACAGTGCTCATCAAGCCATGCTGTGGCGGTGTCCCATATACAAAAAAAAAGTCGAGGAAGATTGGCACAGATGTTAGCTCAGGGACCATCTTCCTCAAGCAAAAAAAAAAAAAAAAGGTATATATAATGGACAATTTTTCAGCCATAAAAAAGGAAATCTTGCCATTTGCAACATCATGGATGGGCATTATGCTGAGTGAAATAAGTCAGACAGAGAAAGACAAATACTGTATGATCTCATTTATATATGGAATCTAAACAAAAATCCAAACTCATAGATACGAAGAACAGATTGATGGTTGCCAGAGGGGTGAGGTGTGGGCAAAATGGGTGAAGGGGGTTAAAAGGTGCAAACTTCCAGTTATAAAATAAATTAAGTCATAGGGATTTAATGTACACATGGTGACTACAGTTAATAATACTGTCTTTTATATTTGCAAGTTGCTAAGAGAGTAGATCTTGAAAGTTCTCATTGTAAGAAAAAAAATTGCAACTATGTTAGAAAAAAAAAAAAAAAGCCTCTTACTTGTCGGGTAGCAATTCTGCAATGAAGTTTTCTACGGACACAGCAGTCTGCTTTTCATGGATCACTCCACTTCGACGCAAGCTATCTATCCGTTCCTGAGCACCCTGAATAACAACAGTGTAGGTTAGAAACCATTTCAAATTATTCAGTAATAAATATACTAATTATATAAGTAACAGATGTATACATTTATACACAAACACAAATAAACTCACTGTAAACATTCAAACAAGAGTACAGAGAATAAAACATGAGAAAGTCCAATCATGTTCCCCTCAGTATTAAGTTTGCAGTGTACCCGCCACATTATTCCCGTATGCATTATTATTTTGGTTGCTGCTGTGAAGTGGATTATTTTTATATTACATGTTCTAATTGGTTATTACCAATATAAAGAAACCCTGTACTTTTTAATGTTGATCTGGCAAGAGGCCATTTTACTAAATAAAAATCTTTTATCCGTCCTAGCAGTTTTTTAGTTGATTCCCTCTTGAATTTTCTTGGTAGCCAATCATATCAACAGTAAATACGTTTTTTTCTTTTCCTCTCATCCCCTTTAAATATAGCCTTAAATATGTACCAAAATGAGCTGTTTTTTTTTTTTAACTGAAAATGTATACATTACACCAAAGCTTATGCAGGAAAATTATTACCACTTATGAAACAAAATAGAGGGGCTGAGAACACTATACAGATTAATTAAATATACATCATAAGACAAAACTACAAGCTGGATTAACGAGGGCAAGGTTGCTGTTTACTTTTATCTGATTCACTTCATAAACAGTGATCATAAATGATTTGCTGAGAATATATTAAAAAAGCAAGATAAAACTATTTCTGAATAAAACTAGCCATGGATAATACACCTGTTTTTATTATAGACAGCAGAGCTAAGTAGTGAATGAGATTAAGTGGTCAAGCCTTATTCAAGTGAAAATTAAGAAAGCTAGGACATTTAAGACGAATTTATTTCAGAGACAACTGAATGAAGAGAAAGTGACAACTTTGAGAATGGGTAAACCAATTTAAGACATTAGCTTACAAAGATGAAGGAGAAAAGAAAACAAGATTTAAACCACAATAAAATCAAGACTGTGTATCTTTACTTACTCTTATATTTCTAGTACCTAGCAATGCCTAACCTAATAGGCATTCAGTAAGAACTTACTACATGAAAAACTGAACAAAGGAAAAAATAAAGGGCTTCTGAAGCCCTACATTGCTAATGTTAAGAATCTGAATAGTGTCAATACGGCATCACCAAATCCAGTAATATTGAATGAGGATGCAGCTGTTGCATTTGAAAGAAAATATAACAGGTAAGATGAACTTAACTCTTTATACTGGATAATTTAAATTTGCCTAATTCACTCCTCCCAAGAGGGAGTTACAGCTAAATTTTGATTATAATGAAGTTTAAATAAATGTTAAGTCGGTAACAGCTATTAGGGGATTAGTGAGATATTTACAGATTCATCCCTACCTCTTCGAAGGTGATATCTCGGCTATGCACTACAATGAAATATTCCTTGATTTTATGCTTCTAGGAAACAAAAACTAAGTTTGTTCATTTTTTTTACCATCCTACAGCATACGGCTTTATGTTCATAGGGTTTACAAAATATTTAATTAAAATTAATTAGCACCTATAAGTAATGAGCTAGGCAGACAATTTTAATTCTTTGTTTGTTTATGGAATCCAGAAGAGAAAATGAAGAGGGGGTTATATTGGCCTCTCTTCTCCTCTGACTACAACATTAATTAAACGTGGCATCTTTTGGAGTCACGAATACAGACACTTTATTATTAGTCCATACCAATGTTTTGAGAATGGAATTTTAACTTTATTTTTCAGCAATGTAGGGGATCAAGAATTAGGAAGTTTAGAGGCCACACTGAAGTAATTACCTCAGAACTGAAGTAAGATAGAGAAAGGCCCCTTGAACTTACACTATACTCTAGGAGCTTATACTAAGCAACTTGGTTCAGATAATCAAAATTCCATGCTTCTTGATAAGTGCTTGTAGCTATTAACTACATCTTTGTTGAATATAAGCTATAAAACAATGGTCATATCTATGATTGGCTTTTCAATAAAATTAATACTTGGCATAGGAGAAGCTTCAGAAGCTTCCTAACTTTAATAAAGGCTGATTTATTTCCTTAAACAATTTTATACGTTTAAAGGAAACCTGTAGTCAAAAAAAAGCCATTCATTTTCCAATAAAATTTGATGGGGAGAAAAAACTGGGTTGAAATTTTAATATTCTAGGATTCTACATTATTCTTCTTCTCGTTAGCTCCCCCTACTGTTTGAGAAAAATAAACATCTGATAAGTTTGCAAATTCCTTTCCTATATATACTTAATATCAGTTTCAATGAATTTTAATTTTAAGCTTGTACTGAAGATTGTGGAAAAGGAGCCCATATGTCTAAATTTGAAGGACAAAAACCCATAGCAAAAATAAATCTGTCAAATACTAATAAAATCACAACACAAATTAAACTACTAATAATATCCACAAAATAAGGTGTTTTTGTAGAAAAAAATCTCCATCAGCCTCTCAAGTCCAATATCTAATTTTAAATATCTTCTGTGTAATGATATTCAACATAAAATATTTAAGACCCGTGTTTTAAAAACCATGAAATTTTGAGTCATAGTCTAAAAATCACACGGTGATCTATCATCAAAAATTATGAACGACCAATCTGCTGACAACTCTATCTGGTCCTTTTTCAGTTTTGTTGAGAACAAACAATCGGAAACTACACAACTTGCAAAAGGACTTTACCTAGTCATTACGTCATTTGCCCTCTCAATAGCTAAAACAGTATTTTGAATTATCCCTTCAAATGACATTCAGGAGGATTTTATGTTCTGAGGCAAGGTATCACATTAGGACTCAGTGGGTGAGAGAGATGTCTTTATTTTCTAATCAGAGAGAACAGGGCTTTTTAAGGGGACATGGAACAGGAGAATGGCTTATAAAGGGACATGGAATACAATCACAGGCACGTATTCAGGCAGAAAAATTTTAGGAAAGAGTACACATGGAAGCTGAGGAAGTAGCTGAGTTCCTTAACACTACCTGAGTCTACTCAGACCTTGCAAAAGCTTTGTGTATCACCAGAGGTACTTCAAACACCAGTTTGAAGACCACCAGTTGATTGTAAAGGTACTCTACCAAGGTATAGCAACAGGCGGGCTGCTCGAGTTCTGTTCAGGGAAAAATATCTATTCTCAAAAGACTGCGTGTTACATCAAAACTCAAAATAGATGCCAGAATGAAAATGTCTTCTGTATTAGACTGCTCACTTGAGGAAATAAAGTATTAATTTAAAAAATTTACCCTAGCATTTTGAATTTTTTTATACCAAGATAATTTGATAAGACTGCTGGATACTCATTTTAAAGAACTCCAAGCACTATTCTGAGAGTTCACATCTGTGGACAAAACAAAGATCCCTGTTCTTGTGGAACTTAATTCTAGTGGGAAAAAGCATTAAAAAAATAAAAATAATATAAAAGTAAATTAAATAGTATATCAGAAGGTACTGACGGCTATAGGAAAAAACACAGAGGAGGGTAAGGGCGATCAGCAGTGCAGGTGCAGAGGGTGGTCCTCAATAGGGCAGTCAGGACCAGCCTCACCGTGGGGGGAAGATCTGGGGGAAGACTTGGAGGAGGTTAAGGAGTCAATCAGTAAGTATTTGAGGGAAGAGTGTCCCAGAGAGAGGAACCAGCTACTGAAGAGAGCAGCGTGCCAGACAAGTATGAATAACCGCAAGGAGGCCAACATGGCTGGCGTGGAGTGAGCAAAGGGGGAAGACTAGCAGATGAAGCCAGAGAATAAACCAGAAGGCCCTATCAGACAGGTCGTGTCGGGCTATAGAGGCCTCTGTAAGGAATCTGGGTTTTTTTTTTTTTTTTTTTGAGGCAGATTAGCCCTGAGCTAACATCTGTTGCCAATCCTCCTCTTTTTGCTGAGGAAGACTGGCCCTGGGCTAACATCCCTGCCCATCTTTCTCCACTTTATATGGCACACTGCCACAGCATGGCTTGATAAACAGGGCGTGGGTCCGCACCTGGGATCCAAACCTGCGAACCCCAGGCCACCGAAGAAGTGGAGTGCGCACACTTAACTACTACACCACCAGGCCGGCCCCAGGCATTTGGGTTTTACACTGAGTGAAATATAAAGTTTTAAAAAGAAGACTGGCATGGCCTGACCTATGTTTTGAAAGGTTATCTTGGCTCCTCTGTTGAGAACAACCTATAAGGCAACAAGGGCTGAAGCTGAACGACCTGTTAGGAGGTGACAGCAAGATTCCAGCAAGACACTGTGATGCTCCAACCAGGGAGGCAGCAGTGGGGACAGTGAGTAGTCGTCAGATGCTGAAGACATTCTGAAGGTAGAGCGAACAAGATTTCTCAATGAATTGGATATGGGTAACAAGAGAAGACAAGGATGGCTCCAAGGTTTCTCATCCGAGAAAATGGAAGGACAGAGCTGGCATCAACTGTGATGGAGAAGGCTGCGGGGAGCAGGTTGGGAGGAAAGAAAAGCAGTGGAGTACTAGACATATTAAGTTTGAGACATTCAAGTGAAGGTGTCGAAAAGGCAACTTCTACATAAATCTGGTTTACGTGAGAGGTCTCTGCTGGAGATACAAATGTGAAACTGTCAGCACACAGATGGTGTTTAAAGCCATGGGACAGTATGAGATGACCAGAGGAGTGAATGTGGATAAAGAGGAGACCATCAAGAGGTTGGAGAGAAAAGGAGGAACCAGCAAAGGAAGTACAGAGGAGTCAGCAATTAGCAAGGCAGGGAAAAAACCAAAAGTGTGGTATCTCGGAAGTCACATGAAAAAACATTATAGAAGAGTAAGTGGTGAACTGTCTCAAAAGCCACTGAAAGATCAAATAAGATGTAGAGCACTGGTGACCTTGAAAGCATTCTCAGTGGAGTGGTGGGGGTGAGAGCCTGAATGGGTGGGTTTAAGAGAATATGCAGGGAAGAATTAGAGATAAAGTGTTGGCAGCTCTTTGGAAGAGTTTTGCTGCAAAAGGAAGCAAAAAACTAACGTGGTAAGTGATAGGGGAAGTGGGGTCAAAAAATTTACGGTTTTCTTTGGTTTATTTTTGTTTTTTTAAGGTGGGAGAGATGTTTGTATGTCTGTATGCTGATGGTAAGAACTGTATGAGAGAGAGGGCAAAATTCTTGGAACTTGAACAGTGAATAGGCTAGAAGGGACCAGATCTAGTACACTGGTAATGGAATTGGTTTTATGTAGATGTATGATGAGTTCTGTAATGGTAACAGGCCAGAAGACAAAGTATGTGATGTTCAAGTGATGGTGTCAGTATGCAGTTGTGTGAAATTTCTCTTCAAAATAAGTCATTCTACCATCTGCCTCTATTACGTAGGGATTATCTATAGACTCAATCACAAGATCCTCTTCCCTCACTATGGAAAAACTAAGGCAATGTTTTCCTTTTGATAAGTGGGTTATTACTGGTAATAAGATTTCACAGGCCTCTATATGTTGATGAGACCTTAGCAAACTCTCATTATATGTAGGCAATGTGCCTATAAGGTGCCAGGTCATCAGGTCTTTAAGGCAAGAGAGTTAAAAGGACAGGCAAGGGGAAGAATCAAAGCAAGTGAGCTAAGAAAAGCTTTTCAGTTGAGTGCTGAGTCCCCTCACCAAGTACAAGAGAAAAGGAAGACTTGCAGGGTCAATCCAGAACCTGCTTCCTAGAACCCCATTACTACTCTGGAAACTTCTCAATACAGGAGAGTCCCATAAACCATGAAGAAATACGTAACTGTAAAGTAGTATTAATAGTGATAGTAATAAAAAGCTTATGGGATTCAAAGGATATTATAATTTAAGTAATTGGTTGAAATGTTAACACTGCCTTAAGAAGAGCTCTTTTAGGACTAACTACTCTTTTTTGTCCTCTCTGCACGTGTTTCCTCCCCTCTTCCAATAATCAAAACCCATCTTAGGTCTCTTTAAGTTAAAACTCCACTATATCTTCGTAACACTACAAGAGTTGTCAATTAAAAACGAAGCTGATCAGGGGGTCGGCCCGGTGGCGCAAGCGGTTAAGTGCGCGCACTCCGCTGCGGCGGCCCGGGGTTCGCTGGTTCGGATCCCGGGCGCGCACCGACGCACTGCTTGGCAAGCCATGCTGTGCCGGCGTCCCATATAAAGTGGAGGAAGATGGGCACGGATGTTAGCCCAGGGCCGTCTTCCTCAGCAAAAAAAAAAAAAGAGGAGGATTGGCGGATGTTAGCTCAGGGCTGATCTCCTCACAAAAAAAAAAAACAAAAAAAAAAACGAAGCTGATCAATATGTCAGTAGGTAAAAACCCATTAGCTCCACACAGGTCATAGGATTATTATCAGAATTATAAAAAAATTAACTTCCAGTTTCTGTATTCTGAAAAACGGGTGCTATTACTCACTTTTAATCCAGCCGCATAGCCCACCGGTTGTGGGGCGATATTGGACTGCCCAGCTTCCCCCACAACCACAGCTAAGCCAAAGACCTCCTGGAAGGCATCTCGGACGGCAGCGACTTTCACTTCTTTATTTGAGGTCACTACAATATCCAGTTCACCTCCAGATTCTAGAAAGGCCAGAAGCAAATTTCAATTCCAAATTAAAATAATGAAGCTCTCATAATTACTACCATATGCTAAAATTTTATTACATAATTATCACTAACCTCACAAAACAATGCAAGATATGGATTAACCTTTTTTTTTTTTTCTGGCGAGGAAGATTGGCCCTGAGCTAATGTCTGTGCCAATCTTCCTCTAGTTTGTATGTGAGTCACCACCACAGGATGGCTGCCGACAAATGGTGTAGGTCTGTGCCTGGGAACCAAACCTGGGCCGCCAAAGCAGAGCACGCCGAACTTAACCACTAGGCCACGGGGCCAGCTCCTAGATTATTAATTTTTTTTACTTGCTGAGGAAACTGAGGCTGATAAGATCTTGCCCAGGGTAACGTAACTACTTAGTGATGATGTCAGGACTCAAACCCAGGTCTGTCAGACTCTGAAATCCTCTTTTCACGATCTGATGCAACCAGAGGCATTTTCACCCTCTAATCAACAGCATCTTATTCCAACAAGTGCTTAGCCCTGAACTACCAACTTTTCCTGAGTTTTGAAAATGAGAATTTAATGCAATACCTGAGGAAGTCTTATTTGTAAGCAGAAGATAGTACATACCTTCTAATGGTTCTGAATAGCATATCCGCCACAAATGAACACGTTTTTCTGTATACTATGAAATACCGTTCCAGAATATACTAGTAGCTCCCCCTGAAAACAGCATGCTGTGGTCAAACACGCTTGGGAGATGCTGCATACCATGTATCTTTCTTGCACAATGCACATTAACATAAAGAGTCTGAGAAATCCAACAATCAAAAATCATAACTTTAACCCAGTATTCTCCATCTGTTCATGGAATACTTTTTTAGCATCTAATAACAGCTCCTAAAAAGTGTTCCATAGACATCAATTTGGGAAATGATGTTATAGCAGCTATGGAAACAGTATGTTTTTCTACTATACCACTCTACTAAGTTAGCCAAGTTTCATTTTCTGATTAGTTTAAACTCTGGATAGACACATTTATTGCATTTTTAAGGTTGCAAATCAAAATGGTTTTTCTGCAGTTGGTTAATAAAGACAGACACCTATTATACACAAACTTCTAACATCTTGTGGATGCCAGTTTCCAGTTCTTCAGCTAGGGACAATCACAGAAATTAAATAACTGGCTTGTGAAGTATAAGTTACACATTTAGGACACTCACTTTATAGAAAATGACAATAAAGACTGTAACGGATGATAAATAACTTGTCAAAGAGTTGCACAGAAGTTCTGCACTAAACAAGGACTACCATGAAATGTGCTTTTTATCCAGAAAATACCTTAAATGTGGGAGCCAAACTTTTCTATTATACAGCCCCATTATTTAAAAGAAAAGCACATAAATGGATATTTATTTCTAAACTATACATCTATTACTGTCCTATATAAATATTCAAGCATTTATGAAAACTGAAATACAACGTACATAAAACTTGATATTTAAAAGGGCTAAGAGCAATATGAAATAAAACATTTTAAATATTTCAATTATTTATTTTAAAAACCTTGTACTATTTAGACAGAGTAATCGGACAAATACGGCTAATTAATTTTTCAAATCTTAATCTGACATGCTGTGATACACTGAATTCAAAGGCCTGGTTCCAAGCACACCACATTTTGCTACTTGGCATTAATGGCTACCCCGGTAAAGAGATTTCTCAAGGAAGCTGTTCGTATTGTAAAACATTTTGCCCCAGAAACAACGCTATGCTTTTCCCTAATAAATAACTTATAGAATAGTTGAAAATATTTTCCAAATATTTGGGTTTTTTATCATGGATCTCTTTTTTCCCGATTGACATAATGTTCCACAGATCCTGTCTTTACTGGAATTTTGTAAGTTACTAAAATCTAAAAGCAATGGGTCACATAGGAGAAAAGAGGAAGAATATACTTTTCTCTCATCTTTTTCTCCATGTGGCACATATCTCTTGACCCTAGCTGAGTACTGCTCCATTAAGCTTCAAGTCAAAAGCTTTTCAGCCTTTTTGTGGTGAGTGGTGCTGGCTTTCATGATAATGAAGGGATAACGAATTAAAAGCATGTAGAAAGTTAAACTGCTAAAATCCATTTCTAATAGTTCTTGTGCTTTCTTGATAGATTTGAAATTGTTATGGTGATTTCTGGAATATTTGTGTAAAAACATCGTTGTTTTACTTTGAGTTTTGTTAGACCAGAATGGTCTTGCTTTTGCTGCCTGCCAGTAAGGTGTCAGCTTTTTTCACACTCAGTTTTATTGCTTTTTATACCTAACTGATTATATCAGTTATGATATTTGCTAAAATACAAATTTCATTTTGTTACCTTTCTCTCCCTCTCTCCTTGGTTTTTCCCTTTTTCTTGATGTCAGGCAGACTACTGGCCTGAGAAACAGTCTTGGGTTTGAGCCCTGACTTTATCATTTACTAGCTTTGTTACCTTGGGGAGGTCACTGAGTGTGTTTCTTCAGAGTAGAATCCCTGCCCCTCACAGGGCTTGGCTCTAAGGATGAAATAAGATAATGGCTTTCACAGTCTAACACAAAACCCATTAAAACAGCAACAGTGCCAAAAACACTAATTCCTTTCTTTCCCTCATTGAAAATACGAGCTTGTGAACAAAAGTATATACAAGATGCATTAATTATGTCAAACTTGATTATGAATATATGAAATCGATATATAGGGTAGGGTCCAATTTCTAAATCTTTGGCAGTTATAAACACAAGGAGCAATTCAGCTGATTTAATTCTTGATTTGATTTTCTACTTTAAGGGAAACAAAGTGGCTAAGTGTAAAAAAATTAAACATGGGTTCAATCTAGCTCCACCAAGCTGTGTGATCTAGGATTAAATCTCTCTGAACCCAGGTTCCTCATCTAAAACTTGAGGCCAATAATACCTACCTTGCAGAGCTCTTATGAAAATTAGTGCCTGGCAGAGCAAGCATTTAATAACCAGTACTTATCACATCAAGTCTTATCTTTTACATTTACTAGACAGTACACTACCAACACAGTAAAGACTCATGAAAGCTATCAAGTCTTTTGCTTCTGAAAATCTCTATTCAGGTACCTGGTGCACAGCTTTGGCCTATAAACTGTTATCTTCAACAGAATTAACTGGTCCCTGAGTCTGCTAAGTGATTATGTTTTTTCACATATTGGATATGTACATTAAAAACTAAACAGCAGACAGCATGTCTTTATCAACTGTCTGGAGGATTCTTGGTAATGAGGGTTCAAAAGAAGTTAAAATAGCTTTCACAACAAACCAAGTAATCAGATATTATTAGTAAACAGATTAACTTCCCCCCAAAATATTATTCCTGAGTTAAGCATAAACACATTCAATTAAAATAGTTAATTGGAGAAACGTCAAAATCAAATATGAACAAAGCATCACTTCAAATGTCAAGAGTGAATGAAGTATTCATAAAAGCAACATTAACCATATTTACAATTAAAATCAGTAAGTATACTAATAATTCACATCACTTTACTCCTCCAAAGTTCATTCTGTGGAGTTTTCAAAATTTATTTAATAGTGACTAAGAAAAGATGAATTAATAATACCAAAACTAAGACTGACAACATGAGAATACAAGAGGATTTCCACCGATTACAAGACCTGTGGAATTACGATTAGAGGCTAACTCTGGCACATACTTTAACGTCATATGACAGATGCTGCTCTGTCTTCAGTACATACTGATATATGGAGCCATGCCAGGGTCCAGCGTCGTAATCATGCTTTCTACCGAATGTTTGGTTTTATCAAGCACGGACTTCACCATTGGATTCCCGGCCACACCCTGCACAAGACAAATTAACATATAAATACAAAGAACACCATGATCATCTGTTGGTGAAAGAAATTTTTTTTAGTTTCCAGGGTATTGCAGAGCTATACTTTTGTAAAATATAAGAAAAACAAGGTTATGGCAATATCAAATTGCTATTAAATTTCAAAATGTTTACTCTCAATTTCCTTCTTATCTCATCACAGACCAACAGCAGTCTGCAGACCACACTTTGAGTAGCATCAGCCTGGGAAGTATATACTGAATAAACATATGTGTGTGTATGTATATATATTTATTTCTATGTATATGTACAGTTTATTTCTATTTATTTATATAAAAGACTAGGCAAAACTTGTCCATCTAGGTCCCCAATAAAGACTTTAATCAGATGTCTCTATAGACCCATACTTTGTTCCCTAATAAAAAAAATAGAAACAATAAAAACATTTGTCATCTTTATTCCCTAGAAGTTACTTATTATCTTAATATTCTGCTATGTTTCACTAAAATTTCTTCTTTTTTTCCTATTTCCTGTTTGTTTTGTTCACTCCCAAATTCTCCCTTTTAAGCCAGACCTATTTCCCTGAATTCTTAAAACTGCACTAGTCAACAGAAGGCACCAGGGCTGAGTATTTCCTTCTTATGCTACACTTCTCCCAAGATAAAAGAGACTTAGAGAGAGCAGTGCCTCCTGATATGGCATCTGGCTAACAGGCCATGATTCCACCTCTTCCAACCTGTCATTAAATTAAGGCGATTCAGAAAAGAGATGAGTTCATAACACAGGTATTTAAGACTGTCAATCAGTCTTACGCTGAATATTAGAAGAGTTGTTTACAAGACCTGTAGAGTTGAACTGGGCGTCACAACTGGTAACTAACACACTGACACATGCTCTTAACAAGGAAAAGCAGTGATAGTCCCTATATAAAGAAAACCTTTAGGGCTGGCCTGGTGGCGTAGCAGTTAAGTTTGCATGCTCCACTTCAGCAGCTCAGGGTTCGCCGGTTCAGATCCTAGGCATGGACCTACGCACCACTCATCAAGCCATGCTGAGGCGGCGTCCCACATAGAGCAACTAGGAGGATGTACAACTATGACATACAACTATCTACTGGGGCTTTGAGGAGAAAAAAAGAAAAAAGGAGGAAGATTGGCAACAGATGTTAGCTTAGGGCCAATCTTCCTCAAAAAGAAAAAGAAAAACCTTTAAAAAGTACACAAGGGGGCTTGCCCGGTAGTGTAGCGGTTAAGTGCGTGCTCTGCTACAGCGGCCCGGGGTTTGCAGGCTCGGATCCCCGGCGCACCAACACATGGCTCGTCAAGCCACTTGCTGTGGCGGTGTCCCACATAAGTAGAGGAAGATGGGCACGGATGTTAGCCCAGGGCATATCTTCCTCAGCAAAAAGAGGAGGATTGGCAGATGTTAGCTGAGGGCTAATCTTCCTCCCACCCACCCCAAAAAAAGTACAGTAGGGTATAAAAAAGTAAGCTTAGAAAAATGCCATTTTTCAGAAATAAGAAGCTCAAGTACTGTAATCAGTTAACCACCTACTAATTTAAAAATATGTTCAATACATAATTAAATTGTAGCCAAACCCTCAGCAGAATATTGGGGGGAACTTGACAGAGTGATTCCAAAATTCATTAAGAAAAATAAATGGAAAAGACTAGTAAAGAAAACTTTTGAAGAAAAGAGAAATCAGCAAACTTATAAAACCAAATACTGATATATCTCTATGAACAGAGACTGGGAAATGACCTTTCTCTCTTATTCATCAACGAATACTCCCCATCCACACCTCACCAGAGGGTAGGCTTTCAATAAATATTAGTATAATAAGCAAACAGAGTTATAAGAATGAAAATAGTGTGGTACTATTGCAACCACGGCAGAGCAGTGGAACAGAATACAGAGCCCAGAAACTGACATTAACACACGACTGCGTAACTAAGATAAAGGTGACACATCAAATCACCGGGATAAGATGCTGGAACAGTCCATTAAGTGGTTGGACGGTAATTAAGTTTTACTTCTACTTCATATAATACAGTAAAGTAAGTATCAGCTCCAGAATTAGAAGAAATCATAGAAAAACACTGATCGTATATTATGGTGGTAAAAGGTCATTTTTATCCTAAAAAAATTGAAAAAAAAAAAAAAAGACCGATAGAAAGGACTCTTGAAAATTTCGAAGCTTTTGTGTCAAAAAAGCATTATAAAATTAAAATGTAAGGTAAAAATGGAGAAAACTGCAATATATAATAGCATATGATAAAATATTCTTACTACATTAAGAGCTCTTACAAATTCATTGAGAAGAAAATCATTCCAATCCAAAACTGGGCAAAGAACATGAATAGAGACCTTCATAGAAGAAAAATACACATGGCCAAAAATCACATGAAAAAGTGTTCAAATTCAATAACAAAGAAATGCAAATTAAAACAAGGTATTATTTTTTTGCCTAGTAAAGTAGAAAATACTGCATTTCAAATTAATAATCAGCGCTGGTAAGTGAAAAATGCTGTGACAGTGTATTCTGGTACAACCTGCCTGGAGAGCAATATGTATTAGGAATTTTTAAAATGTTCCCTCTGACATTCATGAGGAATTAATTCTGACAAAACAGAGATGCACATGAAGATCTGCATACAAGAGCACTCATCACAGTTCTATTGATAGGAATTACAATTAGAAAATGCCAATAACAGATTAGTGAAATAAAACATGGGAATAAATGCAAGGGCATGTAAGGCAAAGCAGCCATATAGAAAAAATTTCAGAAGAATATTTTTTGACTGGGAAGATGTTCATGATACATGCTAGGTAAAGACAAAGAAAAGACACAAACAGTGTCCACATGTCATTACCCGAATTTGATTTTTATTAAAAAAGAGATACATCTACATAGATATGCACATACAAAAGATTGAGAGGAACTATATAGAAAACTGGTAATAAGAATCAAAAGGATTTTATTTTTTCCTTATACCATTTTGTATTTTCAAAATTCTAATGAACATCTATTAGTTTTATAATTAAAAAATTAAGCATAGTTTTTAAAGTAAATACAATTTACCTTAATAAAACCCCACAGTCCACCAGCAGACGCTTCATCCTGACTTCTACCAATTCTAGGATCTTCTTGTTCCTCTGGAAAAGTAATGGCTGATGTGCTTCCAGGTCCTGGTGCCAGAGATGTCAAACTGGCTTGCTGAGTAATGGGAGCTGGCAAAATACCTAGTTAATGGCAAAAATTTGTAATATATGTAATTTATTCCATAAGCTATTTCCTATAAAAAGAAGATACAAGATGAGCAGTTCAAAAGAGCTTTAATAATGTTAACTATATACTCAAGCATTTCAAGATTGAGTTATGAACTCAAAGAATCACCTAAACCTTTAAAAAATACAAATTAAAATTCCAAAGAAATCTCTTTCCCTTTTCAGAGGCTTACACTAAGTGTCCTGAAAATGGACAAAAAATATATATCAAAAATGACTTCATGTTTGCCCTATTTAGCACTTGGATATGGACAGCTCTAGTCCTAATCTCTTCAATGCATAAAAATAACGGAAGTGAGCACCCAAGCCCATCAGATGAAAGCTTCTAACAATTAGCACACATACCCTATATACTCTACTGGAACTCAAAAAAGAAAATTCACATATACATAAACATGGGTATAATACTGTCCTCCACAAAAAATTTTATTGGTAAAGGTAGATAAGCAAAGTTGGATAATAAAAATGACAATAAAGTTGATTCTTTTCCTAAAATGAAAAATAGGCAGAAGATGACAAGGATGAAGTTTGATATTGGTTTCCAATAATCATTCCAGGGAAGACAAAACAGTAGGTATAACTGGCCTAGAAAAGGAAATGGCTCAATACCACCAATTTATGGCCCACACAAGCTTTTATTTGGTTTTGAATTTTTACCTGGCTAAATAAAACTACTTCCTGGACCAGTCAGTCCTAATAATTTTTTAAGTAAAGCTTTAAAGAACTCGCAGACTTCACCCTGATGTTTCTCTGTAAGTGGACAAGACATTAGGAAGAAATTTTGGAATTTTGTCTGACACTCCATATACTAATCATATACTAAGTTTTACCATATGTAAAAATCATATACTAAGTTACATCAACTTTATTTTAATAATTTAAATGGCAAAAACATGAGAACAGGAAACTCTGGAAATCAAAGAAATGAATTAAAAAAATAAAACATTAATGCAGAGAAACTGGAACCCTCACACACTGCTGGTGAGAAAGTAAAATGGTGCAACTGCTTTAGAAAACAGTCCAGCAGTTTTTCAAAGTTAGCAATTCCATGCCTAGGTATATACCCAAGAGAAATGAAAATACATCCACACAGAAACTTGGACACAAATGTTCATAAAAGCAGTACTCATAATAGCCCAAAGTCAGAAACAACCCAAAAGTTCATCAACTGATGAATGGAATAAACAAAATGTAGTATATCCACACAATGGAATGTTATTCAGCCATAAAAAAGAATGAAGTACTGACACATGCTACAACATGGATGAACTCTGAAAATATTATGCTAAGTGAAAGAAGCCAGTTACAAAGACCACATATTTAAGATTCCATTTATATGAAACGTCCAAAATAGGCAAACTCAGAGACAAAAAGTAGATTAGTGGTTGCTTGGGGTCATGAGGATTGGGAATAAGTAGGGAATGATTGCTAATAATTATGAGGTTTCTTTTTCTGGTGATTAAAAGGTTCTAAAATTGATTTTATGGTGATGGTTGCACAACTCTGTAAATACAGTAACAACTACTGAATTGCACACTTTAAAATGGGTGAACTGTATAGTAGGTAAATTATATCTCAATAAAGCTGTTATTAAAAAATAAACAAAACATTAGCTATAGCCATTTATTCCAAAGTATCAGAGATAATTACCTGTTACTGGAGGTGCAGAAAATGATGGCATCAGGGGCGTCTGGGGGGCTCTTCCTGCATGTCCCCTCGTAATGTCATAAGTTGAACCAACAGAAAAACCTGAAGTAGGAGGACCCGCAGAGGGTGCAGATAAAAGAGTGCTTGGGGCAGAAGTTGAAGGTGGGAAGCGGGGTAGGGAAGGATTACTGAAGGCAGCAGCAGTTGGAGGAGGCACAGAAGGTGGTACAGAAGTAACAAGTGGTGGAACAGAAGGAACTGGGGAGGGAGGCACAAAAGGCATCGGTGCAGAGGGCCTCACAGGGGGGAGGGACGGCTGGGGGGTAGAGTAGGCGTGCGGCGGCAAGGACTGCAGAGAGGACACATCTGGAGAAGAAAAGGAACTGGCTGCAGCTAGAAAATGGTGGGGAGGAGAAAACACAAAATTGGAAATGCTTTTCACTTAGCTTTCAAAGTATCTCATTACCTTCTTGCAAAATTTTTAAATTTAACAGACCATATCCCAAGAATTACTTTTAAATGTGTAATTTAAAATATACAATGAATACAATTAAGTGCAAATGACTTTGAACTCCTGTAAGTAAAAGAGGCAGCTATATAAAATTAAGGTATTGTTCATAAGTAGATCTTTGTGACTTCATTTGTTCATTTTGATGTTTTTAATAAAATAGTCGTTTTTCATCCCTGCTGTTGTGAGCATAAAAATCTACACACTGAAGGCTCAAAAACGTTGGTCAGAAGATTAATCACCACAAAGTCACGGAACATTTGAAAAAGTTAACCCATGCCTTTTAGGATATTTTTGTCACAAGAAAGGTGATTTATAGGCAATATGAATATAAAGAACGAAAGTTTACCTAAAGCAAAACATACATGTTTTCTGTCTTTGGGCTTAAAGAAAGAAGGCTAGTTCCCTTCATCCTGGCAAAAATCAGAGAAGTTTTAATATGTGCATTCTTCTTTTGAATGACTCTGAGAAAAGATAACAGTATCTTCACTATCCTCAAGACACGCTAGACACTAGACACCTCCACGTACCTAAAGGACCTGGGGTGGAGGACACTGCAGCAGTGGCCAGCCCGGCAGGATTTGGTGGAGGAGTCCCAGGGGGCGTTGTCTCTATTCCACTCTCTTCCATCATTTTTATTCAATTAAGGTATACTATAAAAATAGAAAAATGTAATAGATATTACACAGTAATCAAAAGCATATTTTTAAAGCTGGTATAGTTAGAGAATAATTTTAAAAAATAATCATCAAGACACAGAATCTGTTTTTACTATTTGTAATGCCACTTATTTACAGATGAAGAGTCTGTCAAAATTCGTAAGAAAAGTCTGTGAGAATATTTAATACGCAAACAATCTGTAACATTTTCATATACATATTTCATAACTGGAAAAGAATTTCATGTTAACTATGTAATTAATTACCCAATATACTTCACATTGTAAATTACTAATTTAATTTTTGCCACATGAATAGATGTTAGATTTATATCTAGATTCCAGTCATTATTACATTCAAAATAAAAATAAATTATTTAAAGTATTTTGAAACACTTCCTCTCTCCCCATAAAGCACTGTATGTGGGCTACTCCTATTAACATTAAAAAAACCTTAAATGTGTTCAATTCTCAGTTTTCCTAGTTCACATTCTAAAACATAACCAGTAATGGCTAAATGATATGTCTCAGGTTTTAGAAAAGTTAACTGTAGGGGCCAGCCCCATGGCTTAGCAGTTAAGTGCGCGCGCTCCGCTACTGGCGACCTGGGTTCGGATCCCAGGCGCGCACCGACGCACCGCTTC